AGTAAACTCGTCCTTTGGTTGGTAGACGGATATCTCGCCTACGCCACAAATGACGCAAGTTAGCAAAAGCTAAGTCGAGCCTTCTGTACCCGTGCTGAGATTTCGTCACACACCAGACCCCAAGGGCTGATGAGACTCCCAACATGAGTGAAGTGGTCGACACGCTCAACTACTTCACTCCCTATCATTAGTTCGGGTGTCGATGCCACCCAATCCTGAGGCAACATTTTGCATTTCCAGGGGGGAATCGCATCCCGAACATGTTTGCGTTGTTGCTTATAGCGGTCAGAAGACTGCATTTTGTCAGCGTCTTCACCAAATAGAACTATGTCATCGGCATATTCTAAGTCAACAAGTGAATCTCTCAGTAGAAGTTTAACCCCTGGAAATTTAGATGAGGAATTTGTCGTCTTTAAAAGAAACTGCTATCTTCCTGTTAATATCAATTTGAATATCTACGTGTTACTCTCAAATTTCTCTCTAGTCTTTTATTATTACTTAACTGATCCTTCCATTCATAATATGCGACGTAGTTTAGACGTATAGGAAACTGCAGTTCAGGTTTGAAAGATTTTTCGCAGATTAAAACTATCGACCCACATGTTTTTTTTGATAATTTCATAATTAATTACATTGCATACCTCCGGCTTTCAGGTTTCGGGCGCAAACGTCCCGTAAAGCCAAATCGATGACAGATTGAATCTATAATTTCTCGATTTATAAAATATGAAGAAATAAGTTGAAAGTTTGAGTCGAACAAATGCATTCAAGACACAATGAAAATGTTGTTATTCAGTATTACTTATTATTATCATTTCTTTCTTTAGCGTTTACATACACATTGACTTTCATAGCCCGTATTTCTCGAGTGGTTATTGGTATCATGTTGAGAACGTTTAGTTGAAGCCTAAACGCAGGGAATAATCTTGATTCAAAGACCCTTACATTAAACCAAAATCTCATAATATGCCTTAAAATGAAACCTGTATGGGCAACGCAGAGTAGCGTGTACTAAAATGGTCACACGACATAAGAACCAAAACCTGGTGTCTCATTAAGTACCGAAGGCATCACTCGGACACTGATTCCCAGTTCCCGGTATACTGGTTTGAAACAGAAAGATAGGAGTAAAAAAGTCCTAAAACCGTATGGTCGAAAACGCCGATTTCGGAGAATGATGCAATAAGGATATCTATATTATTTCTTCATCACTAGTTAGAACCAGTGATTTGACATTCGAATCCGATTTTCGTGATTGCCGTACCCATTGCCGCTGTCACACAAGCAATACCAATAGTTTACTTTAAGTTATCCGAGTTCATTGTTTTTGTATATGCTCTTGGATTGCAGAGTATGTACACCAACCCAACCCAAAAAGTCCAAGGCTTTATTAACTCGAAAAGCAACCGTACATATCCTGACATATATAACAAATTCAGAAGCAGCCGAAAATGCGACTATGGCCACCATAAGTCACCGACCACTAAGCATACTGATGATGAGGAGAAATTGATAGCCGTTAGAAGAAGGAATAGTTCCATAGCACCTACAGGCCACGGCGACGGAGTAAATCCCTTAGTGCCTCTCAATTTCCCACAAGTAGAGAGTAATTTACTAGAAAAAAGGCCAGCCTTTTATGATCAATGATGAGGCGAATACTGCATTCTGCCAAGTGAGGCGAGTACCCTTACAAAACTGTGCCGTCTGTGCAATGACCATACCAGAACCTTAACCAAACTTTCTCCGTCATGAGTTGCCCTGATCCTACACATATAGCAGCTGAAGCCCTCTTGAAATCCAAGTGATTGGCTATTAAACAGTCATCCAATATCGTAGTTAAACACGATAAAATTTTTTTGCAAGAAAATCCCGAAGAAAACTGTGCCAGTAAACTGCAACTTGTTCATAGCCCAACAGGTGGGAGCTATCATAGGGGAGCACCCTATAGGGTGACATAGAGCTGAGCGCCTTTGCAACAATGTGGGGAACTTAGAAATTAAATAGGTGAGGTAAAAAAATGTTTTCAGTCCATCTTAAAGATTATAGCTCACCCTGACGTCATTGGTGATGCACTCTGCGTGAATGAAATGACACTATTCGTATGCATTAGGCATCACAAAACCGGAGGCGGTATGGAGGTACAAATAACAACTACTTCAAAACCACAATACCGCTTACAATCTAAGTTGCATAGCTGCTAGAATCTTTCAGAATCTGCAATTGCTTGGGTGAAGGAATATGCCGTCTACCAACACAAAATAACTCACACAAGTAATTTATATACATATTATATTACTACCACGTTTGAGCAGATACACTTACCAGGTGGCTTCAATACTCCATCCCTTAATCTCACCACGTATAATACAAACCCGACAAGGTGGTTTCATTAATGACGTTTAATACTCATTAGAAGTTGGGGAATGATTGAACATGTAAACGATCCCACAAGATGGAGGTCGGACAGAAAACATTAAAGACCAAACTATCTACCATCAAATGACCTAATGTTAGCTGAGGAGGCCAACATCCATGCATTACTAGGGAATATTGACCTAGGAAAAATAATTTTTAACGAGGTCACTAATGAGGTACCTCAGAAGGATGCGAAGGCTCTCTGCAGTTGTTACATTAGGGCAAGCTACACGACCATGAGGAACCATCCTTAACACAATCGGTGACCACGAAAGTAATGAAGGCTAACAGTGGATGACCACGGGGAGACAATGAAAAGTTTTATTCTAATGGCTGTCGTGCACAACGTATCTAATGGAGAAAGCACATGTGAAAAGAAAATATTTTGGCTTGAGTGAGGTAAAGAAGTCCCACTACATACAAAAACGAGAGCTTGTCACCGATGAAAAGTTTCCTTAGAGGATTTTGACCTCAGCTCTAACTTGTCATGGAGAAATAGATCTAATATCAGAGTAAAAAGCGTCAGGAGACCAAGCTAGCGGATAAAATACAAGCCAACCCAAAACATTTCTGTAAATTCATTTCCATACGGAAACCCATAAACTAGGAACATTGTACTTTCAAAAAGCCTAACGATAAAAAACTTAACAAAATGGAAATGACCGAAATCCCTAGTTCCGACTTCTTTGTTTAGTTAAACGAAGAAACTACACATGCTGAATAATCTTCAACTCTAATGCCCGCAGGCAGTCTGCGAACTATCCACTTGACTCGCAATCTAGTGCAAAATGAACTAGAATTCTCGGGAAAATCACAACGTCCGCCTAATAATGATGAAACCGGACAGAATCTACCACCACAGCGGTATTAAATCCGTTGAGGCATTCAGTAATCAGGGTGACCTTCAAAATTTTCTTAAGGGTCGGTAGGAACGACCCAACCTTTTGGGGGGGGGAGAAAGGACTAATGGTCGGCAAAATGGGGGAATCCACAGAAAAAACAACTTAACTCACGAAGCTCAACACAGGCTCAGAAGAGCCATGTGCACTCAATCTTCTCATATCATAACACACCTGCACAACCTGCTGTAATCAAAAGATAACGGTTCGCGGACTCTGATTCGACACCACACTCACTTGCAAGGAAGATTGAGAAAATGGATTTCGTTGAGCCAGCTCTCTCCTAGCTCCTAAAATTTCCTCATAAATGTAAGTAGAGTGCTTCCATCCTAAAGAGTTTCATTTCCAGGGGTCTCACATGAAGCCTTTTTAAGTTCACTCCTCTTCTGGATTCTAATTAATGACCATTTACACAAAGTCAGCACGCTAGCTTTCAGATATCATGAAGATGTCAGGGAGGTCTATAAGAAACAAAAAGATTGCCTTGATCTTTAAAAGGACTTTAGAACAACAGGGAAATGAGTGGTGGATAATGGGTCCAAACGTAGCTTGTTAACATATAGTGTTATGAGCATTTAGCCCTACGAGACACAAAATACCTTAGTCTTTCATAATAAACCGCTCTCAATTGTTGTATGAGGACGCGATTTAGGACTATTAACCATATGAAGCTTGAAAACTAACTCAAACTACATTGGGGATGAAGCCAAAGTAAATATAGCCCTTCACTTTATGTGAAGACAACTTGATACAGTCGCCCCGGAATGGTTCCTAACATTCCTTAAAAAGCACCGAAGGCCTCACATTGACGTATAAAACTTTGTTACAATCCCGCTCTTCTAAAGAGGCATGAAACTCCGACAATTTGGATCATTCTGGTTGAGCTTAAAAATGATAAGAGATCACCTAATAATAGTACACAACATACTAAATACGCCAAGTCACCTCAAAACGAACGTTATAACAGAATATCACCATCGCGTCTTGTGAAACAGACCCAGGAAATTTGCATGACAGAGGGCGCAAAACTGCGTAAAGGCCTACTTTTTGATATGGGATTGCCCTCAATTCGAAATGCCGTGCCAACTGAAGAAACCACAACGCTCATTAGTGGCTGGCCTAAAGAAAAGACTCAAAAAACACATACCCGCTCATTTTCGCTTTATTTTCGGCATTAAAACTAAATAACTTCCTGTCTTGTACTGTGATAGCTACTGGTAACAGAAACCCTCCTGCCCTGAGACGGATGCTCTTAGTCAGATTATGAGATATACAGATCCGAAAAAATTACTTGACTGATCACGACCAATGCAGTTGAGTTGCTTAACAACCTCCCATTGAACTTCACTAAACACCTGGAACTATATCGGAACATTAATAGGTGAGTGAACGAAATCAATCGTTTTATACAGACTTATAGTAAACATATCTAGGAGGAATTCGTGTGACCTGACTATAACATTCATATTGTATGACAACGAGCTCGGATATGAAAAACTACCAGATCTTCCCCTCAGAACTTAAAACCATTTTGACAAATTAGTTACTGAATGCAAGACAAACCATCGATTTTACCGCCATTCCAACCAATGAAATCGTCTCGTCATATGTTAACAGGACCTATTTGCTTTTACTAGTCAAAATTGAATGACCATCATGATTGCGTTTTATTAGTCTAATTGCTTTATCTGAGAGGTGAGGCAAATTGATTTGTTAAGGAGATGAGGAACAGGGATTCTAATAAGTAAAGAAATCTATAAATTACTTGTTAAACTTTTATCAATGGTAGAGAAGAGCTCTCCTTCAAAGCGCACCACATTGCAAGTTTCATTGAAGGGGAAGAAAAACTTACAGCCTCTAGTGTTGTTCACCATATAAGCTTATTACACAGAGGAGGTCGTATTGACGAGACACCATGTAAAGTCAGACTAGATAAGAAAGGAATTTTAATTGAATTAAATTCTTCGGAGGTAAATATATAAACCTCGTACTAACATATGTTCAAGGAGGTCGTGGAATTTTTCGAATGGTCTTCCATAAGCGACCAAGCAGCAATTTTCAAACGGTCGGATGACTTCCAGTATGGATATCTTATACTTTTTCGGTGCTCACAGTATAATGCAGATCTCGAGCTTAAAGATTCTGAAGTTCACGTCTTTAGTTGCGAAACGAAAGATGATGCTAAACTACTGGTTGACTCGATATATAATCAGAAGAACTCAGCCCTGTAAGATACAGTTCAAATTGATTTTATACCATAGCGGACTCAACTCAAATGGAGACGCTTCAAGAAGTCCTGAAGTAAATTTGCGTCGCTGCAGGTCAGAAGAAGTGAGTTTATTTCCAGTAAATTTGTTTGTGAATATTTTTACATTATACAAACGAACCCATTCATTTGTAAACTGATCAGTCTTAGCCTTAAACTACACAATAGAACACGAGGAGGCTACAGAGTTACAATTTATGCTTTTTGTTCAGTGTGGCATCGAAATACCAAAAACTACGTCAGGATTACATCCACGAAATACATCGTAAACAATTTGGGTTAGCTTCATCAGGTTATTTTTAACAGAAGTATACTGATTTGGTGTACCAGTTGATTAGTTAGAGCACGATTTCTTTTCTCACGCTAAACTAGGCCGAATGTATTTTTGTATCTGTCTCTCCCTAAATTTCTTCTCACTAACTTTGGTCTCGAAACTTAGCTTCATTCCATATATTTCAGATTATCTTAAAAGGTTATTCGGGAGAAGTTCAAAATAAATTTGACATTATTTCAATAATTCGGCCGATATTTACGTTTAAAAATATTGTGTTATACCCGTTTAATCATACTAGATTTTTAAATGTTTCACACTGACTTCTTTAAAGTAATCTGAATAAATAAATTTTGAAAAATCTTGAGAAAATACATTTGAATAACCTTAAATTTTATACAAAATAGACGTTTATTGGATATTAATAAAATAATAGCACTGCCATTTTAAAAGGAAACAAATTAGTTTCCTGAATTATTGTCAGCCATAAATAGCATGACGTCATTACAGTTATAAGCATATTTCAATACAATTGGATACTTTAAATAAAGGGTCTTTACATGATTTTACAAAAAAGAACAGAGAATTGACCTTTTTCTCCTTGGTAACCACATTTTAGTCCTACTCCTATGATACAATTGCTTGATCTTACCTTCTCGCTCACCTCTATTCAGAGTTGATCTCAGTTTGTTTCCTCTTCGTAATTAAATGATATTGTAACCAGTTGTTCGCATTTTTATATTTTCGTTAATTTTTAACTCATATGTTTAATGTTGTCTGTAAATTGACTTTTTTAAGTGTAATTTCTGATTTCGAGGTTTAGATTTTTTGGTCTCTCTAATTTGGTGTCCACAAGTTTCCTCGTTATTTTCTATTGTCGAGCTGTTTTACTTGATTTAATTGTTTTTCTAACTCTCGTAGTTTAGCTCTGTCTATTTTTTAATGAAGAGATTTAGCAGCTTGATTTTACTGTTCGTTCTCTCTTTTGTCTCTGTGTTTAGATATTAGTTAAGTATTCATATACAGCTGGTTTGTAAAGCGTTTTAGTAAAAATCGTATTGCTACTAAAAAGACGGCATTGACTTACGACGGTCAAATTGGCATGAGCCCCAGCTTTTAATTTATAAATAGCAGAGCGCTTGAGGCATTTTGATTACATTCTGAAATTTGGTATCTTATGAATTTCATACTTAATGATGAGTGGTGAACTATATAGTCATTGACAAAACTTGCAAATCAATACCTTTGGTTAAACGCCTTTGATCTTATCAATAAACAATAATCGTTAATAAGATATGCTTTACTACCAAAAGAAGGTAACATATATGAAATACTTCGCGCTTTCTTCAGCCTTTATTTTAAAGCTCCAGAAGGCTGACATTCAGTTATCGTACATTACAGTAAAGTGTTTAGCGGAAGATACTCCTCGCAACAGTAGCAATACAAATCTCGGACTTCAATATACGTCTTTTATATCCCCACCCGAAGTTTTGGATTTCAATGTTACAGTTTAAATAGGAACCGATGTTTGAATCTCTCCATGTCTTATATTCAACAAACGGTTTGAGTATTTGTATTCCGCTATTATCTTATAAGCATTCTCGAGGCTGGTAGTGGCAAAAGGTATAGAATGTTCTTCCAGTCGATGCAATTAATCTGACAGATTTTTTGAGTATTTGTTACTTGAGTTATGTTTGTGCAGGAAGGCTTTTGGTGAGTTCTCAACTAATCAGATTTTAGTGAGTTTTTCGCACGAAATTTCGATAGGGTTTCTGTGACCTTTATAAAAAGCAGTTATGTAAGAAATGAATGTTTCTGTTTGGTAATTGTGTATCACTATTTGATTGATGTTATAAATTATTCTAAGAAGGTAATACCAACAAGAAGCCAAACAATAACTTTAAAATGTTTTAATTACATATGAAAGCTGCTAACAACTTTATAGATTGGTGTTTTGTGAGAGACTGACGTTTTTACTCTTTATGATTATAAGTTTTTCTGCCATTCACAAGAACCTAAGAAGTGCTAAATACGCATTTGTTCTTCTATTTAATCATTTTAACTTTGATAACAACCCTCAAGGGTGAATAATACTCTAAAAGTCATAATGTTTCGGACAAAAGTATATATCCGTTGTATCTTACTCAACAAGTTTATCAAAATCGTTTTTAGCAGAAGAGTACTTTGACATCATAATAAATTAATATCAAATAAGTGACATCTAAATTATAAAATAGAAAAGAAATATTTGACCAGTTCTTTATCATTTAAAATTGTCGTGCTTCATGGTTTTTCGTGTTATTTCATTTGACGAATATCTTAAAGCTATCCAACATCTTTTGCACATACTTATATTAGTTGTATGTACCTGATGATCCCGTAGCATTTGTCTTATGTTTCATTTATACGAGTGCATTTTTGCTGACTACTCTTCTGATAAAAGAGGCGTTTTTTTGCTATTTCGATTATTTACTTTCTAAAATTAATAAATTAGCGATTGTTTGCACGGAAAGTTACTGAATAAAATGCAAGTTTTGCTGTATGCTCAGTATAGCACTCACTAGTTATATCACGTGTGTCACCCGTATGAGCTTAAGTTTACAACATAATGAAATTATAAAATATCAACTCATACCGTATGATGAAGCAAATATCACGATTGTTTTCTGACAGGTCATGAATAAAAATGGACATTTATCTGCGAATAAGTGTCCGCTTAGAATCTCCTTTAAAAAAGATCTAGCATTTTTAAAAACATATAGCTATCTCCATACTATAAAATCTTGTCGACACTATAGATCACAATAAATCCATTCAACACCCGGTAATCATTGTATGAAGATCCTTCTAAAGGTGTATCTGTCATTACTCAAATAGTTAAAAGATGGTCTATATAAAAGAGTTGTCGACCAACGTAGGTTTACTCCAAAATCAAAGCGAGCGCCCACATTTTTCTAGCCATGAGTTTTTGATGAGTCTGGAACATCCGACACCAGACACATTTCACTTTAACCCAATTATACCGGATTTGTTTAATAAATTGTAACCTCTAACATATAGAACTTTTCGTCTTCACTTTCGCTGTTGCTTTACTTCTGTAAAAATCTAGCAGTTGTTGCTATTCTATAAAGAAAATTCTTGAAGTCAGCTTCAAATCAACAAAAATCGTGTCACTCCTGTCAATCTAAAGAACAGTTTCCGTCGATCCAAGTATGATTCCTTTTCTAATAGTTCGGAATAGTTATAAATTGAGGATTTCAATAGTTAACCACTTAAATCAACACACGAGCAAAGTTCACTAACTAACTGACATATTAGGGATGGGAAAACAACCTTATTTAGGGTTATGGCAGTTAAAATCGTAACAAAGTAGTTTTGCTTAATATCTTCTGAAGATTTATTAACTATTTTTCGTATTTTTACAAGGAGCCACTATTTGAACAAATCCAAATAAATCCAATCCGTATCACCTCCACTTACAGGTTTCTTGGGCTAAAACTTCTTGTATAACCTAAAATATTTCCATAGACTTAAGCGGTATAACACCTCCTATGATAAAGATTATCGAACTTGAATTTTTATCGGCAACTTTGAGCATCTTTAAAAAATGTCAAATAATGTCAAAAATCCTCACTTTTGGAGTTGACTACGTAACTATATGATAGTTGGCTCGAATCGATTACTTTTCCGTTTTTGGAGTAGACTTCTACCCTCCTTACTTCTTTTGAACTTCTTCAGGATAATTAATAAGTGAAATGCTTACTTTTAAGTTTGATCTTGACGCAAAGTTTTCCAAGAGGTGGTAGCCTTATCTACAACCCAATGTGTAATGTGAGTAAAAAAGATAAGTACGGTTGAATTTCTTATCGAACTAAAAAGTCCCTTTGCTATAGCCGCTTTTAAAACACTATGTTTAATATATGATTCTATGATGTACATAACTTCCATCCAATTGGTTTGTATTTATTCGTACATCAAAAACATGTAAACTAATAGGTTACTCAATGAACTCTTACATAATTCATCAATAATTACTTAAGTGGAAGATTATGTAGTTATACACACATATATTCTACATTTTCAACAACCAATCTTATCTACAGTTTTAAACTTGATTGTCAAAATAAGTCCTCAGATAGCCATAATAAACATTCAATAATAACATGTAAATGAACGACCTATCTAATAATTATAAACAAAACTTAAGTTGAATCCGCTATGAATTCGTGATTTAAATCATGAAAACTCTACATTTCCACAAACCTCTCTATACCGATAGTAATTCCTAATCAGTTCTACATTAGAACGATTGTTTTACACATTAACTATTCTTATCATGTATCAACTTTCTAACTCTACAATAACCCACTAATTAATATATTATCGATTATAAATTAACAAGGACAATCCATTTTGTTTTATTCTATTTTCATGAAATTTCTCATTATTACTATCACTATTGATTGTTTTGTGGTGTATAAGAAAAAAAACCCAGTAAATTTTAGTGTTCTACTCTTTGAAATGAAAGGTTATAATCTTTTTTTTTCAATGTATACAGATTTTTCGTAATTCAATGTTCATCAAACAAATCAGCCATTAAATTTGATTGATAGTAAATTATATAAGACAACAAGACTTAAAATTACTACTGAATTATTTCAAATTAACATTTATAACTCAACTGTAAAACATTTTATACTTTATTTAATTTTCTATATGTTGAAGACTGAATATTCGTAATTTACTATTTCAGTAATGCTAAGGTAAAAGTATTGCGACATTAATTTCAAGTGAAAAACCCTTCAGTGTTTTTGTTATGAAAATTCAGTTCTGACGTTTTTATTTACATAGTACATTCTTGTGGAATTATCTGTAATACAAATTGTACTTGTGTATATACATTCATAGATACCTATTTACACTACATCCAGTAATGTACGGGTTGTTTAATGTTTGTTTTACATAGGCAAACTTTAAATATTATATCAGAACTAAAGAAATAACGTTAGCCCTATAATTATATAAACAATCTGTCTTTATGACCAGGCAAACGATTATACATATATGCACATGACAATTATCTTAGTTTAAGTCAACCACTTCGTCCACATGATAGCACTGACTGATTATTATAGTTTTCGTTAAATATCAACTCACTATGAATAATACCTAATGAACAAAGCTTCGAGTATTTTATCAATAAAAATGACTGCTTTGTTCAATATAATGAGTTTTGTGTAGTATGATATCATACCCAGCAGAGGGTAGTAATCTGAAAAATAACTCGTTGGCTTTTGGAGCAATGCCATCAAGTTTCTTGTATGCTGCAGCATTTCGTTGAGTGATTTTAAGTAAAATTAAGATTCATTTACGCCTCCTTTTTATCACTAAGGATCATTTACACTCGTAATAGGATCCCAGATAAGATCAGTATCGTTATAAAAGTAATCTGTTAATCAGGATGGAATGATCAAATCACTTCTACTTTCACAAAAATAGAGACCACGTAATCAAAATTGACAGAGAGTAGTTTTATCGAATTGTTCCATAAACCTGAAGATAAATGTAGTTCAAACAGTTGAGCACACCATACCAAGCCGGGTATTGAAGTCATCAGTAGTATAAATGATAGGTATTCAATTCATTAAACTTGACTATGTAGTCATAAGACTAAAAATGAGCTGATCAGAATATAAGTTTGTAAAGAGTACTGCTTTATAAACGTCCTTCTAATAACCTGAAACCGATAAACCAATTCAACAATTTTCAAAACAAAAAAAATTTGTACATACCTGGGTTGCGCGTAACCTTCTAGATGACTTAGAACTATTCTTTATGATATTACTGTATTGAATAGATTGAAATACTTAAGGTCTAAAAGTTATGTACTAGAAAACCTCTGACCAAAGATAATACTATTGGTCTCGGGAGTTTATTCTCCACTCTGACTAAAAATAACATTCGAAATAACATTTTGGCCATTCTTATTATTTTCTTGATAAATATGACACGACAGTTAGAAAATAACTTAAATATTTTGATTAGTATCAGAAGGGGTTTTTTGGAGATCGTAGTAATTTAAACAGTTGAGATCATGAGTCAATTGAAGCTAGACCACCATCTAAAACCTGGAAGCACTGGACGGCCGTTTCGTCCTATTGTGGGACTCCTCAGCAGTGCGCATCCACGACCCCGCCTCTCGGGATTCGACAATGGTGGATATGTCGCTCAATTTCGTGGATTAGTTGAAGTTAGACATTAACACCGTTGGATGCCGGCTCAGTGGTCTAGTTGGTTAAGCGCCTGGTGCGAGACTGGTAGATCCTGGGTTCGAATCTCGCGGGGGACGGGATCGTGGATGCGCACTGCCGAGGAGTCCCACAATAGGACGAAACGGCCGTCCAGTGCTTCCAGGTTTTAAATGGTGGTCTAGCTTCAATTGACTCATGATCCCAACTGTTTAAATTAAATATTTTGGATGTAAATCACTAGGCTAGTCAGAATTTTTAATTATCCACTAAATAGTTAATGGTAATGGTAATGTTTTTGAAATATGTCTAATTTGAAAGTATATGGTATATTTTCTGAATAACAATAAAATGACTACTTTTTGTTTCATTTTCTTTTCTTTAATTCTGTAAACAATGACTTACAACCAGTCATTATTGGCCTACTTAACACCAGCACATCTGATGAATAAACAATTGACAATTTTAATTCATCTTTTTATATAAATGTTTAAACTGTTTTACCAAATCAACAAATGTTTAAGTATTCCGGCTAGTCAAGAATACCTTGTATATTTAGGATATTTTTAGGACTATCAGTATTAATTTCATATTTTTAATTCATTTTTCACCTTCCTCATATTCGTCAAGTGCACACAATAGGCTGTATCTTATCATTTTTATTAAACTTCTTCATTGGTACATAGCCCTACTGTGATATTTGACCTATAAATAGGACTGTGAATCTTGAGTAAATAATATCATCGGAACGTAAAACATTTCCTTCACTGAATCATCTTTAACTTTTGTTCATTGACATAGTGAGCTAATTTCATTATTTAAAATATTTCGATTTATTTAGCATTTAACAGTTTTCACCAATAAAATCCCTTTTTTATTACTTGTGAATAGCAAAAAAATATCTTTTTTTCTCTTTGTTAAAGAAAATAGACTCTACAGGATATGATGGTGGAAGAAACTTTTATATGCTTAACCAATGTATAGACGATATAGAATGCTTCGAAAATCGTCTAGAGAAAGCGATCAAACGAAAGTCGTCTTACAACAGAAATAGTTCAGGTTAGTTTATTTGTCTTTTTTAGTTTATACAGGGTGTATATCTAATCATCCCAGTAATAGATAGAGTCCATTCTGTTTGTTCGAGTAAATCTTTTAAGTTCACTAAATACGGCGAATCTGGGATTGTAACTTTAGTCTATTCCTTCATCCTATTTCAGATAAACACAAATGATAGTCATCATTAAAATGATACAGTTTATTGTCAAATTAGTAAAACTGAAATTTAATTTGATTCCAGTTTCATAAGTTTGAGCAGGACAAGAAGAAAACGAATCCGTTCTTTTCATGACTTTTCATCAAATTCTAAACATATTAAGATTAACGTAGTAACTAGGACTTGCACTTCAGTAAGTGATTTATTTGAATAATTTGTAGGAAAGTAAGGTCGAAAATGGCTACGACGTAATAGAAAACAATGAAATTCACGACGCCTTCATAAATTTATCATTAGCTGAGTTTTTTCATTCAGTGACTTAATAATACAGATATATTATCTACGGGGTTTTCTTAGGTTAGATTATTTTGATTTGTATATACTTACCATCGTTCTACACTTGTGATGGTTGCCCACCCACTAAAACACTATAGATAATAGTCGTCTTTTTTAACATTATCAGTTGAACTACATCAGTGTAAACAACTTATGAAATATTGTTCGGGCTACTGAAAAATGTAAAACACTAGTGAATTAATGATCGCAATAAATGAAATTCTTAGTACTGCCAAAAAAGTATGCCTTTTGATGTCTTTCAAAAACTGTTCGTCGCTGTTAAAGTTTCTAAAAAACATAGAACTGTTTTAAGTCATTTTGTTCATTAACGATAGTTAGAATTCTTTAACCATGACTTAATATTTATCTTGTTATACCTTTTATCCTTTACTAATCTCAATTGCATCCTAGTTTCCTTCTTACTTTAACTGGAGTTAATCCTTCTGTTTTAATATCGCCCCTAGAATACACTTTGGATCATATTAAAATCTTATATATAACTCTTAATTAGGTGTGAAATCGGAATGAAATTTTCCCCATGGTGATTCTATTAGCATATTTTCTTCAACGTTCTAGCTCTATTCTTCCCTTTCCATGATCTAGTATATGGTTCATCAAAAGTTGAACTAATTACAGTACCGTTCTGGAGATTCTATCCCGTTCATCACCCATTCGGCTACTAATATACCAACTAAGTTATTTCTCACCCTGGTTCTTTTTAATTCATAAGAGACAAGGGCAGAAATTTGATTTCAAATATTTTTGTGTCTTTCTAAACTGTTTATTGTCAAATTACTATCAGACAAATTTTTTTCACAAGGTATTACCATAGCGTTACCTGGATAAAACTCATATGGTCATAAGTGTTTGATCCAATTGACTCTCAATAAAAGGGTGAAGTAAGCTGCTGATTATGACCTACCAGATGTACATAATACTCTAAAAGCCTTAATTAGATGCTGTACCCTTCGCTTGCAAATACTAGATACTTAGAACAAATAAAATCTATCATGAAATATTTTAAGATTGTCTCTTTTACGATATATCGTTGTTAAAAAATACCACTAAATACTCTTCTTAAACTTTTATTGTATTATGATCATAAAAACCAAAGTGTGTTCAGATTATAAAGACATCTTTGTAAAATCATTGCTGGATTTATATTAAAAGGATTGGGAAAAACTTATTTTTATTTATATACACGGTTAAATCCATAAATAATATGTAAGCTTCACTACAGCAAACTACAAATGTACATACTGATACTATCAATATAATATGACATTCACAGCTTCGTATTTTAAAAAATGCTAGGGTTTTATATTCTTTTTTGTCACCGCTTTAACTATAAATCACTCAGGAACTTTGAATATCTTCAGGTTCATCATTAAGCTAAATAGGATCATATGTGCTACATTGGACAATAAATTCCACTATGTTAATTAAATAAAACACACATCATTTAAAAGTGGCTATTGTTCATCGTGGATATTTATGCCCTACTGGAAGATTATCTGAATGATTAATAATAATAATAATAATAATAATAATAATAATAATAATAATAATAATCAAAAATGATAAATTCCTCTTACGAAACTTGTTTATTAATCTGCTAATATAAATTGATTTGTCAGTAGATTGTATGAAACACTATGATACATTCTTAAGTGTAACCGTTAACAAAAAATTTCACTTTGAAATAAAACTACAAATATTCACGCTAATTTTTATTGTTTCCCTAATGATTTACATTCTATTTAACTATCAATGAATTGTGAAAGTTAATAAAAGTCACATGGTTTAAACTATTTTATTGCATAAAAGTATATGATAAAATAATAACAGTCAATACAACAGTCGATGTATCAAAACCTTTTTATTCATTAAAATAATATGACTAATTTTTGTTGTATAGAAGTTGAAAATGAAGTTTGACAATCAGTGCTAGGAACACATTAATGATTTTAATAAGTGACTTATTATCAACTAGTTAATGTTTCATTTTCTTATACTAATGAACATCTTTTTTCTATCATAGTAATAATTTCAATTTGTTAAAATGTAATATTGCTTTGTCAACAGTTGTTTAGTCATTCTACTACTTTTAATAAAGTCATCAAAAGATAAGGGTATTTCGCTCTTTCAGATAAATGCTTCCGTTTCTTACTCAAAAATTTCACTTCAAATAACCACTATTATTTTACAAAAGTCAACTGAACGTCACAGTAGTTTTAATGCTGATGAAAAACTTATTCCAACTTGTAAACACACAGCTTAGATATCTTGTTTGACAGCCTTAGATTGTTTTATAAATTATTTTTGGGTAAATTTTGTATAAAATACAGATAGCGGTGTCAGTTACACATAACCGGAAATATATGTACATTAATATAACATTAATATATCTACATTACTTTTTCATGCAGTTATATATCTAGGATTTTTAAGATTCTCTGAATCAGGTAGGGAACAAGAGTTTCAAGAAAGTATGAAGATAATACAAGAAGATAATTTTATAGCTAAAAGATTCTATAGTTTGAATTTTCCTCAAAATACGATAAAATCTCAGTCAATTTTCAATGTAATGGTCGTGTAGTCTTTGGCAGGACAGATTATTTAACAATATATATTGTGGTTTCTCCATGAAGTTGTAGTCTAACTGTTTTATATAACATGATTAAGCATATTTATGTGTTGTTTTTATGTTTATCCACTGCGTCCTAACGATATTTTTCATTGATTTCATGATATTTTTGTCACATCTAATCCCATTTTACTGAGTAATCAGTGTGGTCACAATGAAAACAGCTAGTGGTTATCTTATTTGTAAATATTTCCACGTCATCATAACGCTGTTTAATTAGTAATATAGTCTAAACTATACATGTAGTCAGCAGCTTTGCTTTTTTAGATAAATATTTCTTAACAGCCTATCAATTCGACGGGCATCAAACTGAAAGAGAAAAACGAATATTGCGTTTTTCATATTCTTGGTATTCATAAAACATACTCGATCTAAGCTATTACCATCGGTGTTAGGACTCAGTTTATCCCAACCATCTTGTCCAAACCAAAATTATTAAGTGAGCTGTTTTATGTATGATAATTCATCAAGCAAAATATTCACACTTTTGTCTAGATTTTAAATTTTAATATTACATTTGTTATTTCTCTACATCATTACGTTATAAATAATTAGGATGATTCTATTTATCTGACAATTTACTACTAAGATTTGTTTGATAGTAATTGTTTTCATAAAATGATGTCATCTAGTGAACCATTGAAGACTAGGTGACACTAGGTAGCAGAGCTTACAACAAATTATAACTGTAGAACACTTAAGTCCACATTTCCAAAGCCAGTCATTTCACAAAATATTACTTCGTCATTCCAATATTCACTATATTTCTGTTTACAATGTTGAGCTCTACTGATCTTAGAGCTGATCAATGTCACGGTCATTACTGTCCACTGATGAGGACTGCCAAACCACAGTAAAACAAACGAAAATTGTTGCTTGGTTTTTCAGTCGCCTACATGCTGATATCACTCTTACATTAAGTCAAATCGTTTTTCCAAAAACCTATATCTTAACGAAAATTGTTTTGTTTTACTTTTCACTGTTGTTACAGTTACATAATAGTCAGTAAAATAGTAGTCTGTACAATTTTGACCCTTGTTGTTTATTATTCGAGTTATATGTTTATTAAATGTAATTTAATATTTTACTATTTAAACTTATCTCTTACATTTTGTCATAATTATAAATAAAATTCAATACCTTCAACAATTATGACAAATATGGAAATAAATAATGGGGGTTTAAAACAATTAGTCTCTTTGATAAATTTCTATCATGCAATGAGAAAACGAAGTTTATGTGATATATTTGCGCAATACATTTCGAACAATTTGATCACACATATACTTGTTAAGAACATTTATATATGAAAATTAAAAGGTCCACTAGACAGGTTAAAGGTAAGTCATAACAAAGAAAGAATAATAATGATAATAAAATACACAAAACAAATGTGATGACCACTTTGGATAATAAATCAGTATTACCAGGGTAGGTTAAGTGTAAGGACAAACTGTTTTTGAACACATAAAGGGGGTTTCAATTTCCGTATAGCCAAGGCTTTAATAAACCTCAGTATACATCCTTGAAGGCTTTTGTATAACACTACAAATGCTGATTTGATGTCAACCTTATAATGATGGGTAATTCAGTAAAACCATCAATTTTTACACCAGATCCATATGTTTACATCAAAATGTTAACAATTATAAAATATCTGTATGAATTTAGTTCTTTTTTTATTCAATCATTTATTTAAGCTAAACAGTATAATACCAACAATAAGGTATCCTGGTATTAACTCAATTGATATATATATATATATATATATATATATATATATATATATATATATATATATATTCCCTTCATAATTTTAATATTAAAAGTAAAAAATAAAAAAGTTTACAATAAAATTCAAAA